TAAGATCTCTCTTATTTTCTACTTCTGCCTTCTAATGGCTATCCATTAGGTGTTTATTCCCTTGCTGATATTGTGGTGTAGTCTGATTTGCCCTAAATTAAAAAAGAAAAACAAGTCATAGGGAACACAGATCACTTTCTCCTGTATTAAGTATACAGTATTTGGTCTTCAGTGCGAAATATTGAAACCCAGTGCTGCTTTCATTTGTTTGATTAGTTTTAAGTTGAGTCTTTTGCCCATAGTAGAATGTCACAAAATGGAATGTATTGTATTACCTTCCTATCGCACACATCCTGTGACATTAGCTAAATGTTTATGATTATGTACAGGAAATGTTATAATAAGGGCTGAATAATCCATGGTTATGTTAGGGGTTGCTGACCACTGGATTGATGCTGGAGTGTGACTGTTTGGACCATTTTCAGATGCAAATATTTACTTTCAATTATTAGTGTAAGCATTTCATTACAATGTCCTTGATTGGCAAAATTCTTTTGAGCAAAATGAATTGAATGCTTGAAATAATACAGTTTGAGTATCAGTGATTGGCAATTTCATCTTGTTAGGTCGCATAAGTGGAGCCTTCTTCAGTTTGATGCAGTGCTTTGCTATTGTAGCAATATTTTTTTAGAAATGCTATTCGTTAGTGTTTAAGTACCTTGCTAGGTTTCCTTCTCCAGCAATGAATAATAACTTGTGATACTTTACTTCATTTTATACTGGCAGATATACTGAATAAAGGAATGTACATATAAAGCTTGCTAGTTATGTAATAGCTTGGTCAAAATATTGTGTTATACAGGTAGTCCTTGACTTATGACCATAATTGAGCCCAGAATTTATGTTGCTAAGCCAGACATTTGAGTTTTGCTCCATTTTACTACCTTTCCTGGGTCAGTTAAGTGAATCACTGCAGTTTTTAAGTTAGTAACTTGGTTGTTAAATGAATCTGCCTTCTCCATTGACTTTGATTGTCAAAAGGTCGCAAAAGGTGATCACATGACCCTGGGAAACTACAACC